AGGGCTTAAAGAAATTACATAACTTGTTCAGTTTGCATGGTTGGGGTCAGGATACAGCCTAAATTTGCTTGTGTCTAAACCCTATCCTCTCCAATTTGAATCCTTATATTTCTCATGAGAGACACTGCCCTATTTTTTAAAATTACATGTTTTGATTATGTCAAATTATCAAAAATTATTTGGTTTGAAAATACATATCATCTACCAAAAACAAGGAAACAAGATTTTTCACTTGGACACACACACACACACACACACACACACACACAGAGAGAGAGAGAGAGAGAGAGAGAGACATATAATCTTGAATCTTGATAACTCTAATAATTCTATACAATGAATTATTATAAACAGTAAAATTTATTAGGAGAAATGACTACTAGGTAATTGTGTCTTGGCAGTTATTGAGAAGCATAGCTTTGTGCAACATAGTAACAATGTTATAAAATTGTAGCTCATTCTCTCATTTTATTTGAAAAAAAATTTTAAAACCACTTGTATCTGGCTGAGGTCTTAGAAGCTGACTTGTTTAAAGTTTGTAGAATTGAATTATTTTTCAGCAAGACTTTTAGAGACTGGTATTTCTTGCTGTACTATCTATGTTTTATTTAGTTATTTTTGATTTGGATTATGAGATGTGTCCCAACTGTAGATATTGCCTTTAAGGAAAAGATGATGAGACCCACTGAAGAAGGAAGAACTGTTCCAATATAAAACCTTAACTACATCAGGAATGTATGGAGGAGGACATTACTTTCCCCTGGAAGCTCTGATGATGTGATGTTCAAATGACAGCCTTTGACCATGATTTTAGGGCAGGAGTGTGGGACCCAGTGAGAAGCAAGAATCTAACTGATAGAAGATCCCAGTGTCATCAGCACTTCTGCATTTTCAGGTTTAAACAAATCTGGCAGTGATGAGGGGCTAAACGGCTGCAGAGAGAAAGGTGGCCACATAAAATTATTTCTTGTTCCATCTGTGTTAGCTAAATGCTATCTGAGGCTCTCATAGAAACATGTAGAAGAAAGATACTGAGGTATAGTGTGCAAGAATAGGTATTTACTCACCAGCTCAGATGGGCCAAATAATGTATTTTTATCTGTTTTCCATAACATAACTAATCCCCTCTGGAGCTATTGTTCGATCTGACAATTTTAGGACAGGAGCATAGGACCAGTGAGAAACAAGAAACCAACTAATAGAAGATCCCAGTGCCATCAGCGCTTCTGCATTTCGGTTTAAATGGTCTTTATTTCTTGGCAAAGGGGGTAAATATTCAGTCAATTCAAATCGGAAACTCTCCATTATGTGTTCCCTTTCCTTCTTCTGTCTGGGTGAGGGTGTGATCTCACGACATGTATTGCAATGGAGGTATTGGTGTCTCTTTTGTGTGGCCTTCCAGTTGATTTGGCTCATCCTTTGTATCTCTGGCACTGGCTTCTTTCATGTAGCATTTGGTGATAGTAAAACTGGTAGTTCCTAGCATATGGGCATGTGCCTGTGCCCAGACCTGCCATTGCCTTGGTTTGTAGGGTCTGCATTGCTGCATCTGGACATCTCAATCACAGGATTATCCAAAACCACCTGCTCCTCAGCACTTCCGCACTTCCCTCATGTCCCCTGGATCTCCCTCTGGGACATGCTGCACACAGTCTAAGAACAACCAAAAGTACTACCTTGGCCATCAGTTTAAACAAGTGGTACCTTGGCCATCAACCTAAACATTTCCCTCTGCACTTGCTATCACTACTTCCCTATCACATTGAATGAATTTTTACTGACACAAATTTTTCCGGTCAGCCTGGGCTTTGAGAGTGTCAGGTCAGTGGGTCAGCCAGCCAAGTTCCAGAGAGGGTCAGCTCAATGTGCTGGCAAGCCAAGCCCTAAGTGTTACTGATTTGGTAGGTTAGCAAGCCAAGCTCCAGGAATGTTGGCTCTAATGGGCTGGCAAGCCAAGCCCTGAGAGAGTCGCAGCCCCAAAAGTGTCTCAGCTTTGGAGTCTCACCTTCTTCCAGCAGCTCTCCTGGCTAAGCCAGCTCCTTTGGCCAGCAAGCCAGCTTCTGGGCAGCTTCAGCTCCAAGGATCTTCTGTAGCTCTTCAGGTCGGGGTTCTTGTCTCGTGCCCAGGAGGAATGAGGAACATGAACAGTCGGAAAGTTGAGAAAGCAAGATTTATTGAGAGGACAGATAAGCACCCACAGTGGGAAGGGACCCAAAGGGGTTGCCGATTTAGACCTGAAGTCGGGTGCTTATATAGCCCTAAGACCAAGGCGATTGGCTAGCACTAGCTTTGAGCTGCTTGTTCAGCACTAGCTGTGATGATTGCTCAGTACTAAGGACCAAATGGCAGGAGGTGGGGGCTTAACGGTGAGCTGATTGGTCAACACTTGGCACAAGCTCTAGCTTGAGAGGCTCACAGGGAGCTTATTTACTAATGTGAGTAAATCAGTCCAGAGGCCTGCTGGAAGTTAACTACATTGTTACTGGGGGACGCACCCTATCTGTCTGCCTAGCTTTCCTCTAGCTCTCTCCTCTCTCACTACTTTGGAGGCAGGGCTTTTCCATGAGTTCAGCAGTCCTCTTCTAGCCTATACCCAAGGAAGCTAAATACTTTCCCCAACCACCCTCCCACCCATTCTATCCTGTGCCAAAGCCTTGGGTAGATAGTAAGGGGTTAGTTACTTAAGGTCCTATTTAATTATGTCCAAAATATAAATTTTTAAAATGCTACATCATAATAAATATTATAATAACCATAGATTTTATTGACAATAATTTTTATACTTTCTTCTTATAATCCATGCACTTTTTTTGGAATTATTCTTGTATTTCATACACAATACATAACATAAACTAGTTCATATCAGATAAATTATATTTCAAATAATATTTATAGCTTATAAGATACACAATGATATATGAACACTACTTATAAAGGGTACATTACAAGAAAAAAAATCTAGAAAATAAAAATAAAAAAGAATTCAGAGGAGTGAATAGGGTAATTTTTAGCATTATAGAATGAGAAAATTTGATTCTATTGTACTCAGTCTTATAGTTTATACTGATGGAATTTTACCTATACTATCTTAGCATGAGTAAAAATCCCACCAAACAATGTGTTATTTTTTTTTATCTGTTGGCCATATTGTGATTTTTATTAGGCTACATCTGTATGAGGCCTTCAGAATAAATCTGAATATAAGAGACAAATTAATTGAATGTGGCTATTTATGGAACATAATCAAGAGCTTGCAGAATCCAAAAAGATAAACAGTACACTCATAATGTCTGGAAAAGCTACATATTTCATGTACCAACAATTGTCTCTCATAAATTGGTCTAGGGGTGAAGAATAGCTGGAAAGTTAAATTATAAAGCTAAATAGAATTCCAAATGCCATTACTGATCACCAAATTAATACCAGATTCAATTTCTCCAAAAAGTTGTAATTCATTTTATTGCATGTAATCATCATCTTTTATTCATTATTAATCACTTGTAGTAAATCTCCCTTCACAAATTGGGAAGGCTGCACCTTAATTCAACAAAGCAGCACCAGAAAGGCCTGCACATCTCTGTCTACAAACTAAAGCAGGGAATTTTATCATGTGTATTGGAATCCAGATACAATAAAAATAGGGAAAATTAGAGCTCTTTTATCACACAGCTCTTTAGTTGTCTGTCACCTTGGAGAATATCAGCAAAATGCACATATCTTCAGAAGGGACACAATATCATAGGTGGATTGAGGCAGAAAGGGAGCTGATGTCAAGAGGTATTAGAATTAATATGTCACCAGAGTTAGCTTTTGGATGCAACCTAGGTTCATGATAAATTACATATTAAGGATGTGAACTGAATGCAATTATGGACACCTATTTCTTTCAAGTAGCCTAAAATGCCACCTTTGAAAAATGTGGGGTTTTTTAATGGTTGAAAAGTAGATATTTTAATAAATACTATAACATTTGCAGTTCAGGCTAGATGGTGGATTAGGCTGATGCTTAAAAAAACTTACTAGTAACACGTAAAAATGCTAGATAAAATGTAACTTAAAACAAGATAAATAGCTGAACTCAAAAGAGAAAATAAAGAAAAGTGTCTCTAGTTGACAGAAAAGAAGAGGAAATAGAAATAAGAGTGGAAGCTGGGCTCAGAGGCTCAGCCTGTAATCCCGCGCTTTGGGAGGCTGAAGTGCGTGGATTGCCTGAGCCCGTGGGTTTGAGACCCTCCCGGGCAACTTGGCAAGACCTCATCTCTACAATAAATCAAAAATTAGCCGGACATGGTAGTGCATGCCTATAGTTCCAGCTACTTGGAAGGCTGAGGCAGAAGGATCGCTTGAGTCCAGCAGGTTGAGGCTGCAGTGGCCGGGAGTGGCCACTGCACTCCAGACTGGGTGACAGAGTGAGACTCCAACTCAAAAAAAAGATAACAGAAAAGAAAAGAAATAAGAGTGGAAAGTGTGGGAGCTGAAGTTGTGGCTTCCCAGTGCATAGGAACCTGGTTATTAATACCTAAATGGGATCAGGAGAGCCTTTAGGACCACCCAGGCAAAAGTTGAAATCTCACTCAAAGGGGGTTAATAAGAAAGGTAATATGAAATTTTAAAGAATGGTTAATTAGTCATGATGGATTCCACGTACATCCAGAGACTTTTGTGCAAAAAGAATTCAGAAAGGAGACTGACATGCAACTGACCCTTGAAAGATTAAACAGGGTTTCTATAAGAAAATAAAGGGGAAAAGACATTCCAGGCAAGGGAAATTCTACTCATAAGCAAAGAGGCATCAAATCAATTGCCAAAAGGAAAATTCTTTTTTTCTGACATGAAATGTCAGAAATTTCTTTATTATTACCTGCTTTTATTAAGCACCAGCTTAATACTGCAGGAAATTCCAAGTCACGCTTGCCAACACACTTCCCGCTCCCCCACCCAGATTCTTGATCAAAAGCTCTTCAAGTAAAGATGTGCTCTTCTCTCTTCTGTATAAAACTTTATGAAATGAAGGCAAAGAACTGTGCATATCTTGCTTGAAAATGCTGTCCAGGTTTCTGGAGATGGTGGCTGCCCAGGCCCTCTTCACTGTCCAGTTCTCGAAAGACTCTTGTTCATGAACTGCCTTTTCACAAAGCAAGTCTGCCACTTGCTGGGTTTATCATTCTGAGGGTCAAAAACTTCCTGACAAAGTCTCAGTTCAGTCTCTTGCTTTAGCTGTTGTAAGTAGGCTCTCATCACTTCATCTTCCTCTTTGTTTGCAGGTTTAACATAAATTGCATTAACTAAGAAACCAGGCATTCCAGGAACGGGAAAATTACTGATTCCCAGTGTATACATTTCTTTCTCACCTTGGCTTTTGGAATTGCACTTTTGGAATTTCTTCAGACACTCAGAAATGTAGAGAGTTACATATATCAAGATCCTATCAGCTTCATTCTTAATTTCATAGTTTTTGAAGAAGACATTGGCCTTCAAGTAATAGATGGCTTCATCCACAATGTCTGCATCTTTTGTCTCTCTAGGGGTACATCCTTTGAACTGACTTCTGATAGGTTACAGTGTCATGTACCTGATGAGCTTGGTTTCAGGGTCCATGAGAGGAGAGTGATAAGTCGGCATTTTGGTGGCACCTGGGTTTCGACCCAGAGGCTAAAGGAAAACTCTTAGAGATCGAGAATTTCTAAGGCACCGATGGTCCTGACATTCTGGAACACTGTAATTTAATGCTGAAATTGTGGATCTTTAATGGGGTAGGAGAACTGTGAGACTTCTGCTATGTTTTCAACTCCACCAACTTGAATACTTTAACACTTTTTTATCATTTCTAACAAATAGAACACTTCTATTCAGGGAAGTATTTTTTTTTTATTCTCCAATTTCCTTTTGCTTGTGTTACTATGTACCACTTCACAGGTATTATAACACTTAATCCTTGTGTGAGCCCTATTATATAGAGCAGGTTGTCATCCTATTTTAGAGAAAGCTGTAGCTCAACAAATCATTTTCAGCTATCTATTGCTATTGCTGTCTGATGAATCAACAGAAAACAATTACTCCTTCTTGATGTATACAGTCATGCCTTGGGATCCACTGGGGACTGGTTCCAAGACCACTACAAATACCAAAATCCTCAGATACTCAAGTTCCTTATATTAAATGGCATAGTATTTGCATACAACCTGTAATAACACATCCTACCACCTACTTTAAATCATCTCTATACTACTTATAAGACCTAATACAATGTAAATATTATGAAAATAGTTCTTATACTGCATTGCTTTTTTATTTGTATTATACTGTTATTTTCTATTGTTTAGTGTTTTTTTAAAGAATATTTTTGACCCATGGTTGGTTGAATCCATAGATGCAGAAACCTGTGCATACTGACAGCCGACTGTAGTAAGTTATCTTATTGCTGTCTCACAGAATATGAAATGGATTTTTCTCTTTCTAAGCTGAGACAAATCTCCTACGAACAGTTTGACCTTACAAGAAGGCAAAAGAAGCATTAGGGCTTCCCCAGTGCCATATGCAGCCATTGCCCCACTCTACGTATGAAGGGAATATATGTGGAGAAGAAATAGCATTAATTAACATTTTTTGCCAAGTGCAGGCAATTATTACCAGCCTGCAGAGATAAACAACATACAATTACTAATGCAAGGTTACCATTATTATTCCAATCTGCATATTCAAAACTTCCTTACTCAACTCTTGTTATAGTATTTTCACAAATATTTCCAAGTATTCACAAAAAGGAGCCTATTTGCCCATCAACAGTCTATTTACTACTGTTACAAGGTGATACTCACCATGTTTTTTTTTCTCTATGTCCAGTTACTTTTTCTATATCACTGATTGTGTGTATTTCTAATAGGAATAATAATGTGTTTAGTACTGTGAAGTAAACACTCATATTCCTATTTTCAGATGGGAGTGCTGAGGCATTAAATGCTTAAGTTTGATGACTAAGATTGCTGACTCATTAAGGAAAACACTACATTTTGAAATTAGGTTTTCTCATTCTAAATCGCACTAAAAAACACAACTTTTGTGAACATCATAACAATTTAAACATTTACTGCTGGCTCAGCATTGAGTTATGTAGAAATATTTAATGCCTTTCCCCATGAATATGTATTAGTACTATATATGCATAATCTTACATAAGACATATATGTTTAATCGTGCATTAACCTACTTGCCCCATGCATATAAGCATGTATAAAAAATCAATTCTCTCAGACTGAAAAATTACAATCAACTAGAACTCGTCCCACACAGGAATATCCAGCAGAATTAATCATTCATGTAATCAAACGGGTAACAAATGTGTTATCAGACATACACCATCTCGATCAAACCAACTCTCTTCCACACGACTATCCCCTTCCATTATTTCTCGGGCACTACCATCCTCCGTGAAACCAGCACCCTCATCCAATTCGGATCCCTCTTCTCGCTCCGGGCCCATAAACTTGGGGGTAGCTAAACTGAAACTATATCTGACATCTGGTTCTTACTTCAGGGCCATGATACTTAGAATCGCCCGTTCGTTCCTCTTAAATAAGACATCATGATGGTAACAGGCCATACACCCTCTTTTCCAGTCACGGGAGAGTTAAATGCATTTGGTATTTTTTAATTTTTAAGGGGGGGGGAGTCTTAACTCAGCAAGGCCAGAAGGCCTGGTTGTAGACAATTCAATTGTAGACATGCCCAAATTGCGTATTGTATTTCCTCATTGCATATTCATAAACTTCTATTTAATTCATGCTCGACAGACATAACATATTTACGCACACCGGTACACGTACACGTACACACACGCGCACGCACATGCACACGTACACGTACACACACACGCGCAGGCACACGCATTTACTCAAAGAATATAATACATAATAGGATTATATACGCAAACCCCCCCACCCCCCCATTACTATAATATTACTAACGCAACGATATACTCCTGCCAAACCCCCAAAACTAGAGAATTACGCCAGCTCATATAGATAACTTACGCACACCCAATTATATTCTTCGCTTATGTGTATTTTATTAAGTCACAGAGCCTTGTCCCTATTAAGGAATGAAATCCCTAACTAAATTTATATTTTCAAGCAACACTATTAGCCAACCAACTATATATTCCCTAAATTCCTATCTAATCCTAAAATCCCCAAGCTTATCTCTTTTTTCACTCACTTAATAATCCTACACAACCAATACTGACATGATACTTTAACCCTATAAATAAATAGGTTAATGTAGCTTACTATTAAAGCAAGGCACTGAAAATGCCTAGACGGGCCCAAGCCCCATAAACACAAAGGTTTGGTCCTAGCCTTCTTATTAGTTCCTAGTAAAATTATACATGCAAGTATCTGCCCCCCAGTGAGAATGCCCTCTAGGTCCCAATAGACCAAAAGGAGCAGACATCAAGAACACTAATAAGTAGCTCATAACGTCTTGCTCAACCACACCCCCACGGGATACAGCAGTAATAAAATTTAAGCAATAAACGAAAGTTCGACTAAGTTATACTAGAAACACAGGGTTGGTAAATTTCGTGCCAGCCACCGCGGTCATACGATTAACCCAAACTAATAAAATCCGGCGTAAAGCGTGTTTAAATTATACTTAAACTAAAGTTAAACCCTGACTAGGCCGTAAAAAGCTACAGTCTAATCTAAAATAACCCACGAAAGTGACTTTAATACTTTGAAGACACGACAGCTAAGACTCAAACTGGGGTTAGATACTCCACTATGCTTAGCCAAAAATACAAATAAATCTAAACAAATTTATTCGCCAGAGTACTACAAGCAACAGCTTAAAACTCAAAGGACTTGGCGGTGCTTCACATCCCTCTAGAGGAGCCTGTTCTATAACCGATAAACCCCGATTAACCTTACCACCTCTTGCTAATTCAGTCTATATACCGCCATCTTCAGCAAACCCTAAAAAGGCCTTAAAGTAAGCACAAGTATAAGCATAAAAACGTTAGGTCAAGGTGTAACCTATGAGGTGGAAAGCAATGGGCTACATTCTCTACTTTAGAGTATTATGAATATTCTTATGAAAATAAGAATTAAAGGAGGATTTAGTAGTAAACCAAGAATAGAGAGCTTGATTGAAACAAAGGCCATGAAGCACGCACACACCGCCCGTCACCCTCCTCAAATGCAACTCCACAACAACTACATAAAACAAATCACAGCGCATGAGATGAGATAAGTCGTAACAAGGTAAGCATACTGGAAAGTGTGCTTGGAATAGACAAAGTGTAGCTTAAACCCAAAGCACCCGGCTTACACCCGGAAGATTTCACAAATGACCACTTTGAACTTAATCCTAGCCCAATCTAAACTAACTAAATTATACTAAATCTTGTAAACTAAAACATTTACCTTAACCTAAAAGTATAGGAGATAGAAATTTATATAGGCGCTATAGACAAAGTACCATAAGGGAAAGATGAAAGACAACTTAAAGTACAAAAAAGCAAAGACACTCACTTTTACCTTTTGCATAATGAATTAGCTAGAACAATTTCACAAAGAGGACTATAGCCAAAAATCCCGAACCCAGACGAGCTATTTGTGAACAGCCATAAGGGCATACTCATCTATGTCGCAAAATAATGAGAAGATTTTCAAGTAGTGGTGAAAAGCCTACCGAGCCTGGTGATAGCTGGTTGTCCAGAATAGGATATCAGTTCAACTTTAAATTTACCTACAGAACAAATAATCTCCATGTAAATTCAAATGTTATTCTAAAGAGGGACAGCTCTTTAGAAATAGGAAACAACCTTACTTAGAGAGTAATTAAACTCTTTTCCATAGTTGGCCTAAAAGCAGCCACCCATTAAGAAAGCATCCAAGCTCAACTCACCCAAAAATGCCTTAATCTCAATAACCAAACACAACTCCTATAATTACACTGGACCAATCTATAAAATAATAGAAGCAATATTGCTAATATAAGTAACAAGAAATTATTCTCCTCGCACAAGCTTATATCAGACCGGATAATCCACTGATAGTTAACAACCCAATATAAACAATCATAAATATACAACTTATTATACCCATTGTTAACCCAACACAGGCATGCGATTCATTTAAAGGAAAGATTAAAAGAAGTAGAAGGAACTCGGCAAAACTTTAAACCCCGCCTGTTTATCAAAAACATCACCTCTAGCATAACTAAAATTAGAGGCACTGCCTGCCCAGTGATATATTTATTAAACGGCCGCGGTATCCTGACCGTGCAAAGGTAGCATGATCACTTGTTCTCTAAATAAAGACTAGTATGAATGGCCACACGAGAGTTTTA